TGACACCTAACATCATGAATGAAAGTAGTGAGAACTAGTTTTGCCTTTTGTTCCTGATCTTAGGGGAAAATCACTGTCTTTTACCATTAAGTGCTAACTATAGATTTTTAAAAAGATGTCAGCTATCCATTTAGGCTTTCTTCCTTGCCTAGTTTGCTGAGCTTTTTATAATGAGTGCTGAATTTTGTCAAACGCTTTTTGTCTATCGATTGAGATTATAGTGTTTTTCATCTTTATTATGTTAATGTGACAGATTACATTGATTTTTGGATTTTGAGTAAACTGCTTTCTTGGTATAAATCCCACTTAGTCAGGATATTATTTTTTATGGTGCTAGACTTGTTTATTTGCTGATATTTCAATGAGGATTTTTGCACCTGGGTTCATTTATGATATAGCCTATGATTTTTCTTTTTTAGAATGCCTTGATTTTTTTTCCTCAGAGTAACCCTAACATCATAAAATGATTTGGGAAGGTTTCTCTTCTATTTTTTGAAATGATTTATGCAATAGTGAGGTGTGTGTTTCTTTAGAAGGTAGGTAGAAGTCACCAGTAAAGCCATCTCTTAAAATTACAAATTATTTCCTAATATATATGGAGCTGTCTAGATTTTCAGGCTTTTTTGTATTTGTTTTGATAGTTTATGTTTTTCTAAGGAGTTTTCCATTTTAAATTGTTTCTAATATGCCTGTATTATCTTTTTAACTTTTTTATAGGATTTACAGTGATGCTTTTGTTTTTATTCCACATACTGAAAATATGTTTTCTTGACTAGATAGGCTAAGTATTTATCAACTTGACTGATTTTTTTTAAAGAACAAGATTTTTTTTTCTATTGTTTACCCAGCTTCTATTTAATAATTGATTTTTTTTGTGTGTTCTTTTCATTTGTTTGGGTCTAATGCTTTTTCCCCCCTGGCTTTTTATAGTGGAAGTTTAGATTTTTTTGTTGTCGTTGAAGTTTAGACTATTCACATTGGATACTTTTTCTTTAATGCTAGTCATATAGCATGACTCTTGCTATATGCTGCAAATTTATGTGCTTTTGTTTTGAGATGGGATTTTGCTGTTACCCAGGATAGCCTTTTCTCCAAATACTTGTTATTACAGGTGTGTGCCACTACTACTGGCCCTTTACAATTCTATTTTATTTTAGTTTTAGTTTTTGGAGGGTTTTTTTTTTTTTTTGTCTTTTTCCTTTTTATCGGTACCGGGGATCGAACTCACAACTGCCTGCTTGGTTAGGCGCTTATGCTGCTGAACTAAATCCCCAGCCCCAGTTTTTGGAGTTTTTGAGACAGGGCCTTACTATGTAGTTCAGGCTGCCCTTGAACTCACTATGTAACCCAGCCTAGCCTAGTCCCTGTGATCTCCTGCCTCAACCTGCCTAGCATTGGTATTACAGGCCAGTGAAGCTGGACATTGTGGTGCGTGCCTGTAATCCCAACACTTGGGAAGCGGAGGTAGGAGGATTGCTGTGAGTTCAAGGCCAGCCTGTACTGCACATTGAGACCCTATCTCAAAAAATAAGCAAACAAGCAAACAAAATACAGACAGGTGCAATTATATATTTTTTTTTTTTGACAGGTGCAATTATATATTTAGCCATCCTGCAATTTTAGATAGATTCTATTTCCATTTTCATTCAGTTAATAATACTTTGGGGGAGGGCAGTTTAAGGTTCCTATAGTGTTCCTGGGATACGTATATTACTGTTCTCTCTTGGTGTATCATCCTCAAGTAGAGAGGAATGACGTTGAAACCACCATTTGTAATTAAGGATCTTTCTATTTTTCTTTTCTTTTTTTTTTTAAATTGTTATGTCCTGCATTATATTTTTATTTTCTTTTAATCCTGTCAGTTTTTTCTTCAAGTATTTTGAAAGTTTGTTGTTAGTTGCACACATTATATATATTTTCATTGGGTCCTGTTATTAAATGTCCATTTAGAACCCTGGTATTACTCTCTTTCCTGGAATCTACTTTGTCTGCTGTTAGTAATATCTTTTCCCAGTGTTTTACTTTTAACTTGTTCTTTATATTTGAGTTGTTTCTGTAGACAATAAATACTTGGCTCTCCTGACAATCTCTGCCTTATAATTAAAGTACTTAAACCAAGTTCATTTGATATGATTGGTTTTAAGTTTTTCATCTTGCTACTTTTTTCTGTTTGTTCCATTATTCTTTGTTGTTGTTTTAGGCTTACTGTCTACTTTTGAATTATTTATTTAGCTTTATGATTTGGATTATCAACACTATTAGCTGTACTCTGTGGTGATTGGTTTAGGTTAGTGCATCTTATCTTGGGCTACAATAAAAAATACTGATAACTGGGTGGCTTAAAGAGTAAACATTTACTGTTGCACATTTCTGGAGGAAAGGAAATCTAAAATTAAGGAGCCAATAGGTGTGGTTTCTGGTGTAGGTATTCTTCCTGGCTGTTAGACTGATGTCAGCGCACTGTGTGCTTAGGTGATCTCTTTGTGCTATTGGAAGGAGAGCTCTGATTTCTTCTGTGTGGACACAGATCTCATTGTGGGGTCTGCAGCTTTATGACTTTATCCTGAAGGCTCCACCTAATGCCATTACATTGGCAATTATAAAGTTTTAACTACAAATTTTGAGGGACATACACATTCAGTCCATGATTTTGGTCTTAGAATTGGGTTTGTATACTCTGAGGCATCCCCGAGGCCTACCTAAGACCTTTTGTTTTTGTGGGTTATATCTGGGATACCGTATCTATTTGAAATTATAACTAAGATTTTTAAAATATTTACTCATTTCAAATAACAGTTAGTAAGAATAGTATTTAATAGGTATGGCAGTACCTATTATGTAATCCCAGTACTTTATAGGGGCTAAGACAGGAGGATTACAAGTTTGAGCTCAACCAGGGCAACTAATGACTTAGATTTTGTCTCAAAATAAAAGAATTAAAAAGGGCTAGGGATATAGATCACTGTTCCCTGGATTCAAGCCCTTATAGTGAATAAGAAAAGCAAAAATACTGAGAAGAGTGGTATTTTGTATTTTTGTACATCTCTTTAATATGACAGCTAGATTTTCATATTGGCTCCTGCAGTCAGCTCATTGTTTTCTTTGAACTAAGTGAAGGAAATCTGGCGTCATACAGATAATTTGGTTGGAAAAAGGAGGAGTATTTTAATAGCCTTTGTCAAGCCTTTTTATTTGGCTATATGGAGGATTATATCCAGGACTTCACACATGCTGTGCAACTGTATCCTCAACCCTGACCTCTTTTTTTTTTTTTTTTTTTTTTGACACTATATCCAAATTTTATCCAGGTGTGATGGTGAACACCTGTAATCGCGGCATTCTGGGGCTGATGAAGGAAGATTGCAAATTCAAGTCTAGCCCAGGCAATTTAGCAACTTTTTCTTTCTTTAATTAATTTTTTGTACACTTTTTGATATATATAATGATCACATTTATTACAGGGAATTTGTACCTATACATAATATTTCTTTATTTTTGCCCATTTCTTTCCCCTCCCTTCAACCATTCTCCCCTTTCTTATTTACAAAAAAAGTTTCATTTTTTTCCTTCTATTCTGTTTTTGTTTTCCTTTTCCTTCACTTCTCCCTTCTCCTTGTTCCCCTACCCCTTTGAACATTTTCTTCCTACTTCCCAATATCTATGTCCATTTTGGCCCTTACTTACCTTTTTAGTTTCTCACATAACTGAAATAATCCAATATACAAACTGTGTCGGACATTGCACTTAAAAGTATGGTTGCCACGTTTGTACATGTACCAAGCTTACTCTTCATTGTGGCGTAGTAGCACTCGGTTGCATACAGAACCACATTTTCTTTATGCATTTATTGGTTAGTTGAGCATCTGTGCTGTTTCCAAGATATAGCTATTACAAGTTGTGCTGCTGTAAACATGGATATACAAATATTGCCATCGTATTTGTTTTTAACTCTTTTGGGAAGATACCTAGAAGGAATAGCTAGCTGGGTCCAATGGAACCCCTACTTTTAGTTTTTTGAGGAATCTCCATACTGACTTCCATGTTTATACTCTCACCAACAGTGGAGAATGGTTCTTTTATCCCCACAGCCTTGCCAGCATTTGTAGCTTAGCAACTTAGTAAGACTGCCTCAAAAAAAAAAAAAAAAGGACTGGGGATGTGACTCAGTGTGGCTCTGGGTTCAATCCTTAGTACAAAAAAAAAAGAAAAAGAAAAAAATGATCTTAAAGCTTCATTGGACTTATATATAGATTGATTGATTTGTGGGTCTTTTTTTTTAAACTGGGGATTAAACTCACAACTTCACCCTTGCCAGGCAAGCACTGTGCCACTGAGCTGTATGCCCAGCCTGTGTCTTGTATTTTGAGTGAATTTTTTTATCCTATGATTTGTTTTTAACATGCATTCATCATTTGGAAAATATTGGCTCATCGCATTATGCAAATTTGCCAAATGTCAATGTATTTTGTTATATCAAAAATTCATCTTTATTAATATCACCAGTGATTTAATGAGAAAAGTGTGGAAGTATTGTGATTCTGTGACGTTCAAAAGTTTTCATAAGAAAACACTATTGAAACCGGGGACATAGCTCAGTGGCATGGCACCTGTTTGGCAACCGTGAGGTCATGAGTTTGATCCTTGGTATCAAAGGAAAAAAGAAAACAATATTGACTACAAATGCTATTTATTTTCCTTGAAAACAGGCACTTTTGGGGGCTGGGGATTTAGCTCAGCGGCATAAGTACCTGCCTTGCAAGCAGGCGGTCGTGAGTTCAATCCCTGGTACCGATAAAAATGAAAAAGACAAAAAGAAAAGAAAACAGGCACTTTTATGATTCATCTAGAATGATAAATCAGGGCTTTCAAATGACTGACACTGAACCAGTTTATAACACTATTATCCTTACTTTATCCTTAATACCAAACTGTAATAGTCTACCAATTTCTAATTGTGATTTGAGTGAATGTCTTACAGGAATCTGCTTTTGTTCTTTCAGGCTATAATGCAGCAGGGGGATACATCCATAAAACCCATTCTCCAAGTCATTGTAAGTGCCTGTATATGATTTACGTCAATCAATTTTAGATGCATATAATTATAAATTATAGGTATGTCACATCAAAGCTTTTCCCTTTTTTTATTTTTAATTATGTTTAAAGTTAAACCTTTGGAGGTTCAGATTTAATATTTTGCCTCTCTGTTGTTCTCTGTAGTGAATAGATGACATATAATGCTGAACATTATTGTAACTGTCTCCTTACTTGTTTCCCTGTCCTTAGGTTTATCTTGTTCAAATATGTGTTACATATGACCTCTGGAGAGATACATTTACATGAATGCATCCATAAAATTCTCTGATTAGCTCATCATTTATTTAAGGGACTCTTGTGTTTAATAGGAATTGCAAACACCAGTAGAAGCAGAATCTAGGATCACACCTGCAGATTTTGAGACAGTAAACCTGCTGGTCTGTCTCCCACTGCTCCCAGTCATGACCTCAGGCTCTGTTTACATAGTTTGCTTCCCTCAGAATGCTGCCTCTGTGATCTTCCTCAAGTGGTGATAAATGTCTTGGCTCTGCCTCTGTAGCATTATGTACATATTTTGTTTATGTCACTTTGCTTGCCTCTTCATCCTAGTTGTATTCTCCTTCAGGGCCAAGATGTTTTTGGGTCTTGTTTTTGTTTTTTATTTTTTAAAATTTCTTTTTTTTCCCCTCCTTGAGCCAGTCTTACTGTGCCTCAGGCTAGCCTTGAAATCACTGTCCTTTGTCCTCAGGTTCCTGAGGAGCTGGGGTTGCAGGCTATACCACCACACCCAGCTTTCATCGTACCTTATGTGAGATGCCCTTTTCATATACATATATATGTATGCCATTGTTTGCAATTAATTTTAGCCAAATTTGAGTAAGGGAGAACACAGAAGATTAGCATTTTCATTTGAGTCTGGTCTGTATTGTATTTAATAATGTTATGTAGAGAGAGGTTGGTGGAAAGAATCACCAAATCCAACTTTCTTCCATTTGCGTTTATCTGGGCACACAGTTTATTGTGTCCTCAATTAATGGCAAACCTACTGTCCTGCCACTTTTGTTTACTTATCTCTGGGGGTTGGGCAGAAAACCTGGCTAATGAATCAAGTTTTCCATCCTAGAGCATCCGCCCCATTACCACAGGGAATAATCCACCCCGTTATCGACTGCTTATGAGTGACGGAATCAACACACTGTCCTGTGAGTATCTGTACTTGCTTAAATAACAGCACACACAACATTTTGATTGCCATAATATGGGGCATTCCTGAAGTCTACATCCAGACAAAATTGAAACTGGCAGAGAGCATGCTTAACAATAGAATGGATATGATGGACAGCTGCCATTTGGCGTAATTAATTTTCTCTGACTGGTGCTTTATGGTGTTTTGTCTTGATACTTATTTCCATAAGATGTTTAGTGAATGTGATGGGTTAGCTGTCCTGTATTTACTTTTTTTGAGATTTTATTTAGGTATTGGGAGCTTGAAAAGGAAGATAGGAAAAAGTTTATAGAATAGGTGTCTGCTATCTCAAGTATGAGGTGATAGATCCATAAAAGATTTCTTTGGTTTTTGTCATGAAAACTGAATAATGGAAAAAATGGTTTAGAGCCCTTTAGGAAATATATATTTTATATATATATATATATATATATATATATATATATATATATTTTTTTTTTTTTTTTTTTTTTTTTTTTTTTTTAAGATAGGCAGCACAAGTTTAACACAACACATGAAACCTTTTCATATCCAGAGTCTGATTAGTTTAAAAAGGAACATGTTTAAGTCACTATTTTTCTTTGTGATCATCTTTCATATTCTCTAAGCAGAAACACTGCAGGCTAAAGTAATCTCTGCTTTTCAGCTTTCATGTTAGCAACACAGATGAACTCTCTTGTTGAGCAAGAACAATTGGCTGCCAACTGTATTTGCCAGATTGACCGATTTATTGTTAACACTCTGAAAGATGGCAGGTATGTGTTTTGTTTTTTCTTGTATGGGTACTAATTTGTGAACAGAGAAATACATGAGATGCCAAGATTGAATTAGGAATTTTAAAAGACAGTGGTAAGTTTTCAGTTAAGAATTTTTAGCTGTTCGATTCTGAACTCAGGTAACTAAAGCATAATGCCAGAGGGAAGAAAAATACAGAAACAAATGGGAAATCTCAGGGCAGAAGATTAAAGGTGAATACATGACTCTATGTCTGGTCATTTTTAGAATCTTTTAATAGAAGCTACTTCTTATTGCAAGATGTATATTTAATTATATAATGTTGCTTTTTTTCGGAGTCTTGAATCTTCTTTAGTAAACATATTCTCGGGCAGTATACAATATGTTAAGTACCTACAAGGTAGTACACACTAGAAGAACAGTAGTCAGTAGAACTATTCTTTCCATTGCTAAATGACTTATTGTAGAGAAGAGGACTCTCCTGTGCCATTTTTCTGTTAACATTTTTTACTTTTAATTACAAAAGCAAGTATGTGAGGCATTTCTGTATTAGTAATGATCTATCAGTATGTTACATTATTAGTATATTTCCAGTTTTATATCCATTGGATATATCTTTATCTTTCTTTTAACTTTTATCCTGTTATTTATTGTTTATATTTTAAGTGTTAGATTACTTTATATTTTATGTTTATATTTTAAGTATTAGTTTATGTTGTAAGTATATATTTTATATGTTCGTATTTTAAGTATTAGATTACTTTTGTTTTATTTTCTTAGCTTTTTCAAACTCCCTCTGCTACCTTTAGTTTTAGCTCATCTGTTGGCTCTTACTTTATAAAATTCAGTCTTATTTATTTATTTTTTGAGTCACTTTCATTCCCTTTTACGTTTTATTCCAGGCTGGGTTCCTTGTGTCTTTTTCCTTTCCTTCTTTCTTTTATTTTCATACACCATTGTCTATTGCATTGTTGCTGTGTCCTTTGTTTTTATCTTGTTTGTGCTTAATATGGACAGTGCAGTCCAGACTACTTGCTCTGACCTAGTCTAGGCCAGGCACATCTGCACGCCAGTTTTCCCCTGTAGGCTCCATTTCTTCCATGCCAGACTACTGTAAGTGCCTTAAGCTGTGCTTTCCTGTGTCTGCTTTTGTGCTCTCTCGGGGATGGTTGTGGGAGAGGGTGGTGCGCTTTACTGGATTGTGGACAGACAGTCCTTGCCAGGAAACTCCAGTGTTCATTAGGAATGCAGTTCCACTCCTTTGGGCTCTGCGTTATTTCCACCCCTCAGCATGAAGACCTGCCTTGGATTCTTTGCTGCCCCTGTTGAGAGCCTGTATGTGTGTGCATCCGAGTTTACTGCTTTTCACCTTCTTAACAGTCACTTAGATTTATTCACAACAGGGCTTTAACAGTCACCTTTGTTCAGTTTTCTTTCTGTGTTCATGCTTTTATTTCTAGACTTTTAGATTGCTAGAACCAGTATTGTGGGGTCAGAGAGCAAAATACACCCACTGCCTTGCTCATGAGTATTGTATAAGAGTGTGTGTTTCTGAAAAAGCAAATCCATAAAGAAAGCAGATGAGTGGTTCCTAGGAGTGGGGGAAAGTGCAGTGACCACCACCATAAAGGGCTTCTTTATGGCATAATAAAAATGTTGTAACATTAGGCAGTGGTGATGCTTATGCAATTCTGAATGTATTCCAGTCCACCAAATCATACAGTTCCACAGGGCGGATTTTATGGTATGTAAATTATAGCTCAGTAAAACTGTTACTCTTTTAATTAATTAATTAATTAATTTTTATTTGTTTTTTTGAGACAGCATTTTGCTCTGTAGCCCAGTCTGCCTCAGCCTTCTAAGTGAGTGCTAGAATTATAGGTGTGCACCACAACTCCCAGCAATCTCTTTTTTATTTTTATTTTTTTGGTGTTTTTTGAGACAGAGTGTCATTATGCAGTTCAGGCTAGCTTTGAGCTCACTTTGCAGCCCAGGCTGATCTTGAACTTGCAAGGATCCTTTTGCCTCAGCTTCCTGAGTGCTGAGATTACAGGGGTGTAGCACCACACTTGGCTATTATTTTTTTTAAAAACACTGTCAACATACCAGACTTTTATTATTATTATTAATTAAATAATTTATTTATTTTTTGGTACCAGAGATTAAACTCGCAACCTTGCACTTGCCAGGCAGGCACTTGTGCCACTGAGCTAAATCCCCAGCCCTCCCATCTTAGACTTTATTAATTTTTAAAAATAATCACTAATCATCAGTATTTAATTTACATTTTTGTGTCAGTGAGATACTGTCTTTTCCTGTTTTTATTGACTGTTTGTAGTTTCCCTTTTTCTCCTGTGGTGCTGGGAATTGGAGCCAGTGCCTCACATGTGCTGAACTAATGCTGTCACTGAGCTGTGTCCTCAGCCCTTTTTATTTTTGAAACGGGGAGGGCTCTAGTAAGAAGTTGAGATTTTATTCTGAGTGTGTTGGGAAGCTACTGGGTTTTGATCTGGGAGCTGAGATACGATCTAAATTGTTAAAAGTTCTAGAAGACTCTTCAGACAGTCATGCAGAAAATTGATGCCTGTGGACTTAGCAGATGCAGAAGGAATGTTGTCTGTTCTGAATTTGCCATGTTTTCCACTGACTTGTCTGTTTCTATCACAGAGTATTTTTGTTTAGGGGGAAGATTTTAGGCAGGTGTGCTTAGTAAAATTGCCAGATCAAATACTACCTTTATGATTAACTTTTTGAGGAATTACCAGACTTTTCCAAAGCAGCTATGTCAGTTTACCTTCTTGGATGCAACACATACATGTGGAGCTTCTGTACGTTCTTCCCAACACTGAGAATTACGCATCATAGAGTTTAGCTAAACTATCACCTAGAGAGTGTTTCTGTTAACTTTTGGCAAAGTATTCTTTTACTTTTGTACTGCCTAAAATTTTCTTGATAGCTCTCATGTTTGTTCTTGCATGTGAGTTTTATATTGTCAAGTTTTAGAAAATAAGCAAAGTCTTGTTGGAATACAATTGTATTAAATTTATGTAATTGATAACTAGGTTTTTTTGTCTACATAGTGTGGGTGCCTTTAAAATCTCTTGGATTTTTTAGCATACACAATTATCTTATCTCTTTTTATAAAATTTATGCCATTTATTTTGCTTCTTTCAGTCTTACTGAATTAGTTAGTACCATCAACACAAAAACACTGTTACAAGAGTTGGGGATATAGGTCAGTGGCATGGTGCTGAGTTCAATTCCTAGTTCAAAAAAAAAAAAAAAAAACGACAATAGTGATGTCAGCAAATACGTTCTTTGTTCACCGATTTTAATGGAAATACTGTTAGTTCACTGCTCAGCCAGCATCACAAAAATACCTTTACTTTGTCATGTTCAGAACTTTCTTTTAGGTCTTTCCATTCAAGGTTTTTTCAACTATGTATGACCCAAATTTTTAAAAACGTTAACTGTATTCATATGATCATTGTTTTGAATCCTTATATAATATTGAACTAGTCTTTTATTCCTACAAAATAAGTCCTGCCTTAAAAATAATCCTCTTAGTTTCCCTTTTTCTCTTTGGGGATGGAACCCAGGACCTACCCACTGAGCTACATCCCCACTCCAGCCCCTACTTTTTTGTACTGAGATGGGGGCTGGGCTGGAACTTACCATCTTCCTGTGTTAGGGTTACAGATGTGCCCACCATGCTTGCCCTTTCTGAAATCTGTTTTATCCTGAATAATTTTAAACATCCATGAAAATAGAATACACAGTGGTGGTAAGAGTCCCCATATATTGACCTGCAGATTATCACCTGATGTCGAGTCTTCTCTTGTCTATATCCTTTCTATGTCTACTTTTTTTTTTTTTTTAAGACAGGATCTTGCTATGTAGTTCAGGCTAACTTTGAACTCACTGTGTAACCCAGGCTGGAACTCAGAGCAATCTTCCTCCCTCAGCCTCCTGAGTGCTGGGATTATAGGCATCTGCCACCACACCTGGCTCTACGTCTACTTTCCTCTATAATTTTGAAATAATTATCAGACATCACATAGCTAGATAGGTCTCTATGAAGGTAAGTGTTTGTGTATCTATATAAGTATATAAAGTGTATATGTACATAAAGAATCTTAACTGAATCAGGGTCCAAAGTAAAGTTCACACTACAGTAGACTGATAGTCTGTAAGTCTTCTGATGTGTATAAATTCCTTCTCCAAATCTTTTTCTTTCTTAGTGTTTGTCAGATAAGTCAGATCATTTGTCCCGACCACCCTTACAGTCTCCTTCAGTCTGGATTTCATAGATTGCCTCTCTCTGTGTAAAGATGTTTAACATGTCTGATATCTGTAGTCTTTGTAAGGTGATATTTGTTTATTCTTTTAATATGCTTTTGTATTCATCTTGTTAATATTTAATGCAGGATATATTTCAAGATGAAATTTTGTGAGTGTGCTTTCAGGTTTTGATATTAGGATAATGTTAAATAATTGATAAGCCTTCTATTTTTATATGTTATAGAGTGATTTGGATAATTTGAGAAGGTAGTTAAATATTCACTGCTAAATATCAGATAGTTTTATAGGGTCTCTGCCTCCATTTTCAGGAACAGATCATTTCAGGCTTATTTTGTTGAAAGAGCATAACCCTGCTAGGATAACCTAATAAAAAGTGAAGTTAGTTAATTATATGTAGAAGTCCAAAAGTTAGCAGCCATGCCATTTAAGGAATAGAATGTGAACTTGAGTTGATTATTGCCTTCCTTTTGCTCTGGTTCATCTACTCTTTTCATCTCGACTGCACTACTTCAGGCCTCCGTCATTTCTTCTCTGTTAATCTACTTGTTCTACTTAGTTCTCCACGAAGTCATTCTCCCTGTTGCAGACATGACCACAATATTTTCGTTCAAGCATACCTAACAGCTGGGGACCTATTATTACATCAAGCAGTAGAGCCAACCTGCCTTGATTGAAAGTGCGTCTAGAAGGAGAAACAGATAAAATAAGCAGTAATAAATGTATACTTGAAAGCTAAGGGGCTGGGGATTTAGTTCAGTGGCATAAGTACCTGCCTTGCAAGCAGGTGGTCATGAGTCAATCCCTGGTACCAATAAAAAAAAAAAAAAAAAAAAAGAAAGCTAAGAGGTGTCTAAAGGAAAGAAATCATGGTCATGGCAGAGTAGAGCAAAGAAAGCTGATCTACACGAGAGAAAGGCAATGTGTCTTGGAGAGATGATGCTTGAGACAAAAACTAGAAAGAATGCTAGATAAGGGCAGAATGAGAATATAATCTGAGGGCAGTGTGTATGTAGGTCTTGTGGCTGGAAGAAGTGTGGCATGTGCTAGGATCTAAAAGAAAACTAGGCCCAGGAGTGAGGAGATTGATGGAGGGAAATTAGCACGATCAGCTTGAAAGCTGTGTCAAAAGTTTTACTTTAATTAATTTTTGCAGTGTTGGGGATCTTCAAATGCAGGGCCTCAGACATGCCAGACAGAGGCTGTACCACCAAACGCCATGTCGAAGGTCTTTGTTTTGGGGCTGGGGATTTAGCTCAGGGGCATAAGCGCCTGCCTTGCAAGTGTCTGGTCGTGAGTTCGATCCCCAGTACCGATAAAAAAGAAAGACGGAAAAAAAAAGTCTTTGTTTTGAGTCTAAGGTCTTTCGGGAGTTATTGAAATGTTTTAATTAGAGTTAAACATGAGTCTTTAAGACCTGTAACTTTTGTTTATATCAGATTTTATTGGTACATTTTAGATACACATAATGATTACATTCGTCATAGAGAATTTGTACCTGTATATGATATAACTTGTTTTTTTTTCCCATTCCTCTACCCTCCCTTCAACTCTCCATCCCTCATTTATAAAACCTGTGTTTCCATGTTTTCCTTATCATTTTTTTTTAACTTTTCCTTCTTTCCCTTTCCCACTCTCCTTTGTACCCCTCCCCATTTGAACATTTTCTTCCTATTTCACAACACCTGTTGTACATTTTGGTCCTTATTTATACTTTGGGTTTTTTACACCAGAGAAAGAGTGTACACATGTCTGGTTTATTTCACTTAAAAATATAGTCTCAAGGTACATCCATTTTCCTAGAAATGTATTTATTGTATAGAAAAAACCCACATCTTCTTTATCCATTCACCAGTTGATGAGCTTTTGGGTTGTTTCCAAGATTTGACTGTTATAGACTGTGCCATTGTAAACATAGGTGTGCATATATCACTGTGGTATGATGCTTTTAATTCTATTGGAATGATACCTAGGAGGGGAATGGCTGAGTTCAAAGAAACCTCTAGTCCTGGGGTTTTTGGGGTTTTGTGTATTTGTTTGCTTTTGTTGGTGGTGATAATGGTGGGGTTTTTTTGGGGGGGGGGTACTTGGAATCGAACTTAGGACCTTGTGGTTGACAAGCAGGCTCTGTGCCTCTGAGCTGGTCCTAGTTTTCTAGGAATCTCCACACACTGATTTCCACAATGGTTGCACCTGTCTGCACCCCCATCAACAGTGAGGGGTTCCTTTTTCCCACAGCTGCTCCACCATTTGTATTGATTGACTTCTTGTTAATAACAATTTTTTTCTGAGGTGAAATGAAATTTCAGGATTATTTTAATTTACATTTTTCAGATAACCAGTGATGTTGAACCCTTTTTCATATATTTACTTGCTGTTTGTAGTTTTTCATCTGAGATGTGTGTTCATCTCAAATACCCGTTTTTCGATTGGGTCTTTAAATTTTAGGGCTAAGACCTGTAACTTCTTACAGGTAAGTAATAAAAATTTCTCAAAACAAACCTTGCTATTCTGTATTACTAACAAGCATTAAAAAAAAGAAAGATAATTGGCTTTTATAGGGAAATCATTGTTTAGCTAAGTATACATTTCTGAAAACAGATCATCTCTTTGGGCCACACAGTCGTGTTTCATATCTAAATTTTTTTTTTTTTTTTTTTTTTTTTTTGGTCTTTTTCATTTTTATCAGTACCGGGGATCGAACTCATGACCGCCTGCTTGCAAGGCAGGTGCTTATGCCGCTGAGCTAAATCCCTGTGGCTCCTTGAAGTTATGTTATATAGCAAATATGCGGCACTGTAAGGGACTAGTTGGGAAATGAATACTTTATAATCATAAAAAGCTTTGATAGTGATGCTATGAAAGATTAAGGGAAATACATAGGAATTGATACCATATATTTCTCAAGTTATTTAGTAATGAAAAATCATTGACTTTTATCAAAATTATTATTCAGAGCTGAGCGTGGTGGCTCACACCTGTAATTCCAGCACTCAAGGCTCAGGCGAGGGAATCGTTGCAAGTTCAAGCCCAGCCCGGACTATAAAGTGAGCTCAAGACCAGCCTGAACTGCATAGTGAGACCCTCAAAAAGATATAAAATAAAATAAAATTCAGGGAGAGCTTTTTAAGTTGCGTGTCATTTGAAAGGCTTCTGAATTTATTTACTCTAACCTGTTTCTATTTGTTTGCCTTTGTAGGAGAGTAGTTATTTTGATGGAGTTAAAAGTTTTGAAATCAGCTGACATGGTGGGAGTGAAGATTGGCAATCCATTGCCCTATAATGAAGGTAAAATGCTTTTTACAAGTTGTAGCACTTAAACTGAGTACTACTTTATAGATCCAGAATTTTATCTTTTGGGATCAGTTTGAGTTTTTAGCCTTAATAAAACAGTGATTTAGGGGTGTAAGAGTCAGAATATTTTGTCAGGCTTTTTTCAGTATTCAAGAAATGATATATGAAGTAAAGGGGCAAAATGTAAGCCAGGGAAAAAAGGTAATGGATATTGACTGTAAGATCCAGTTAGAGGTTTAAAAAAAAGTATGGCAACTACTAATATAGGGTATTATAATTAAAAGATGTCTGTAATAATCATGAGAGGTTTTTTGGTTTTTTTTGAGTCAGGGTCTCACTGTGTAGTTCAACTGGCCTTGAATTCACTATGCGACCTAGGTTGGCCTTTAACTCCTGGCAGCCCTCCCTCAGCCTTCTGAGTGCTGGGATTATAGGTTTGCACTACCACACCTGGCAAGAAAGGTGTTTTCTTTTTTTGGTAGTGGGGACAAACTCACAACCTTGCGCTTGCCAGGCAGGTGCTTGTGCTGTGAGCTAAATCCCTGGCCCCAAAAGGTGTTTTCTTAAGAGTTGCCTTAGTCACCTTTTGGAAGTATGATGGATATAATGTGTACTCCTTTGTTAAGTACTCAACACACTGGTAGCTGATAGTATTATCTCTGTTACTAAGCTGTGAGTAAACACTGAAGGTAGAGACCATATTTGCTTCTTTGTTCTGTTGTAACCCTAGTCTCTGGCTTATAGTTGGCCCTAGCAAGGATTTGTTGGCTTGTACAGTGTTAAACAGTGATTATTATCTCTTGATGGCAAAGTATTTTCTTATGGAATATACAGAACAACACAATGAATTTAGAGTCATTATTAGATAAAGTTAGAAAGTAAAGATCAAAATAAAGATAAAGCTGGGCTTGGTGGCACATGCCTATAATCCCAGCTCTCTGAAGCTGAGGCAGGGAGATTGCTGTGGGTTTGAGGCCAGCCTGGGCTATATAGCAAGACCCTGTCTCAAAAAAGACAAATAAATAAATAAATAGACTGCATAAATGAATTGGAATAATTCATAATGATATTTGATTACATTGACAAATAATGTTAAAAATAGAAAAGTCTATACCTTTAAACTAAGATAAAATATTTACAACAAATAGAATTGGCAGAGGGTTAATATATTTAATATTTACTGAATTTCTTACACATCAAGGGAATAGAATGCTGTATTCCAACAGCAAGCAGGTATTGGATAAGAACAGACTGTTCGCTATAGGAGGAAGACAGCTGGCCAGTATGTAAGAAAAATGCCCAGTCTCACGGGTCACCTCACCTTTGTCCTGTTACTCTGTTAGGGAGAGAAGCTCCAGAAGCTTACACTGTTAACTATAGATTCTTTTTTTTTTTTTTGTAACTATAGTGTCTTGTAGATTCTTTCTACCAGTTGAGAAAGTCTACTTTTATTTCTTGTCGACTGAGAAGTGTTTATCAGGAATGTATGGTGAATTTTGTCACATACTTTTTCTGTGTCTATTGATATTCATAGTTTTTCTCTCTGAGTTGGTTAGGATGGTGAATTATAATGGTTTTTGAGAGCTAAACCTACCTGGGATTTCTAGGCTAAGTGTGTCATTATGATGTGTTATCCTTTTTACAATATTGCTGGATTTCCTTCTCTAGGTACACTCAAGTTGCTTTTGGTTAGATTTTTTACATTTGTATCCATTAGAGATATTCATCTGTGGCTTCCTTTTTCTCATCATGTCTGTTTGATGTGAGTGTCAGAGTAATCCTGTCCTCCTAGGATGAATTGGAGACTGTTCCTTTTTAAATTATCTGGAAGAGTTCATATAGAATTAGTATTACTTTTTCCTCAGAAAGTGGTAGAATTCACTGGTGATACCATCTGGGCCTCCTGCTTTTTTTTTTTTAATGGAAAATTTTAAATTGAGTTTAACAAGTCATCAATTTCTTCTGTGGGTTTTAATAGATTATATCCATTTCATTTAAGTTCTTGAATTTATTGGTCTATATAAACATAAGTATTATAAATTTCCATATGAAAAAGTAGAAATGATTCTTTTAAGGGTGGTACTTCTTGATAATGGGAATCTATGATCTCTTTTTTTGCTTCTGGTCTTACATTTTCTATTATATTGACTTATGCTTTTGATCTTTATATTTCCTTTCTTTTGCTTGCTTTGTAGTTAGATGTTCTTTTTTTTAATTTGTTCTTGTTTTTGGTTTTGTTTGTTTGGTTTTTGGTACTAGGGATTGAATCCCGGTGTTTCACATGCTGGGATTTCTTGCTTCTTAAGGTGGAAGCTATGTACATTGATTAAGACCTTTCTTCTTTGCTAATGTAGGTACATAGTGTTACAAATTTACCCCTACATACTGCTCTAACCATACCCTGTAAATGCTGCTATGTACTCATTTTTATTCCATTCAAAATACTTTGTGATTTCTCTTTTAATTTCTTCCTCTATATTTGTGTTTTTTATAAATGTATTTGATTTCTGTATGTAGAGATTTTCTAGTGATCTTTTTGTTACGGCTATGTAATTTAATTCCATTGTAGTTAAATAAGCTACTCTTGAGTCCTGTTAAATTGATTCTTATTTTTATGCCTCAGATTATGATCTCTCAACAAATTATGTATTATGTACTTTGAAAGTGTATATTTGATTGTTGGGCAGTGTTCTGTAAATGTCAGTTACATCAAGTAGTGTAGTTAAAGTATTCTATATCCTTACTGATTATTTTCTGTTTACTTGTTTTGTCATTTTCAAGAGGGAACTATTGGAATCTCTGACAGTAATTGTAGGTTTCTTTCTCCTTGCAGTTCTGTTAGCTTTTGCTTCCTATTTTTGAAGCTGTGCTGTAAATCTGTGCACATTTAGAATTGTATCCTTTTGGTGAATTGATACTTTTGTTACGAAATGACTTTCTTTGTTCCCTGATAAAATTCTGTTTTTGAAATGTTTTGATATTAATATGGCCATTTCTAGTTTGGTGTATATTTTTATATACTTTTATTTTTAATCTATTTGTCTTTAGTACATATATCTTTATAGTAAAGCTTTTTTATGGACAATATATAGGTGGTCTTAATTTTTTTTGTCCAATTTGGTAATTTCTGCCTTTTAGTGGGGTGGGATTAGACTGTTTACATTTAATATAGTTTAATACAGGTTCAAGTCTATTCTTGCTATTTGGCTTTTATTTATCCTATCTGATTTTCTTTCTTTTTTTTTTCTTTTTGGTTAGGATAAAACCAAAAAATAAAACAGAATAAAACTAACCAGTGTAAGTGATACAGGGCTTCAAAACAATACAAAATCAACAATAGTTACTATAATGCCTCTTGTCTTCAAAATAGCTGCAGATATCCTCAGATATAGTAAAAATTAAACAGAACAGAATAGATAGAATCAATAAAGACAAAACAATGAATGCAATAAAGGACATCAAAACCAGCCAATAGTAAATCCAAAATGGCTAACATAACATATCTTGCTATCTTTGAAATAGCTGCTCATGCCATCAGATATAATAAAATCAAACAGAACAAAAACCAACCCAACAAAATAATGGTAATGATACAGGACTTCAAAAGAAGAGAATAGAAAATTAACAGTGGCAACCACCCTCAGGAGATCCCCCACCCCGCACAGATGCCACACAGTACCGCCATCCTCTGAATAGATGATCAGATCCCTGGCCCTAGATCTGCAAGGTCAGTGAAACACTAAACACCACACGCATCAAAATAGCATTTCACCTCAATAACTGTCTCGCAGTCTATGTGTCTCTGGACCAGCTGGGACCAGCTGCTTACTGGGAGGGTGGGATTGTTGTTCTTTGTTTATCAGCCCATGTGCCATAAGGGGCTGGGGTCTGGCTGTCTCCATTCTGGGCAGTGGCCCATGCAGGGCACTGGTTCTCAGGGATGGCTTGCTTCCTGGTAAATGCTTGTTCTTTTCTCCCTGAAGCCCACAAATGGCCCAGCTTTCTTTTCAAAGAGATTTAAATAATTTTTAAGAGCATATTTAAGGGATTTAGCTCAGCAGCATAAGCGCCTGCCTTGCAAGTATGTGGTCCTGAGTTTGATTCCCGGTACCGCTAAAAACAAAAAAATTAAAAAAAAAAAAAAACAACTTTTAGGGGCTAGGGATTTAGCTCAGCGGCATAAGCACCTGCCTTGCAAGCAGGCGGTCGTGAGTTCGATCCCTGGTACCGATAAAAATGAAAAAGACAAAAAAAAAAAAAAAAGAGCATATTTAATCATGTTGTTGCCATTTCTGGTTCTGATCAATCTTTTGTCTAGGCCAACTGGTCACTTCTTGTAGTAAAGATTCGCTGGTAATGGGTTCTTTCAGTTTTGAAGGTCTAAAGAATGTTTCCCCTTTTGTTTCAGAGATATTTTTGCTGAGTGTAGAAATCTGTATCACCCATTTGTTTTGTTTGTTGTCAACTTGACTTGCATTGTTACCCTCAACAGGTTTCTTTACTGTCCTTATTTTGTTCTTCAGCTTCCTTGCTTAGGGTCAAATTCAGGGCCTTGTATTATTTGCTGGGCCAGTACTCCAGCACTGAGTTACACCCTCCGTCTGCCATGATTAGTCTGTGCCTCTCTCTCTGTCTTTCTCCTCCCCTCTTCCTATTTTCCTTTCTTCCTCCCTGTCCTCTCTCCCTCCTCCTCTCCTTATCCCTCTCTCCATCACCCACCTCTGATGTTTTGAGACAGGGTCTCACTCACTGCCTCAGCCACTTGAGTGCTGGAATTATAGGTACAAGCCACTGTGCTCAGCTCCTCCATGGTCTTTCTTTTTTTTTTTTTTTTTTTTTTTTGGTCTTTTTCGTTTTTACCGGTACCAGGGATTGAACTCATGACTGCCTGCTTGCAAGGCAGGCACTTATGCCGCTGAGCTAAATCCCCAGCCCCTCCATGGTCTTTCTTGATTAAGGTTAAATGAAGTTGAACCCATTAATTTTCGTAGGCG